GTCATAACTAATGTTCTTTTTATTTTTAGTTAACTGCTGTGGTGTGTTTAATCTATTTTTTTTTTTTTTTTTTGGCTCCATTTGTGTAAGTATCCTCAGCTTTGTATCTACAGATTATTTTTTTTTCTCATACCTATGTTACTATATTATAATAATTTTTTTTTAAATTTGATGCTATATTATGTTGCTTCAGGCGAGGTCGGCTGTCCGGTCATGATGGCCGAATGTGGGAATGTTATGTCATGATATTCCCTAATCCCCTACTGTGTGACGTATGCATTGCGTCAGCATGTGTTTCCCGCTTTCGGAAGAGGACGAGGACTAGCTGGCGAGCGGAGCAGACGTCGCTCGATCGCTCGAATATTATTTCATTAATTGTAATCCTAATGTAATCTATGTTTGTGAATAGTAATAAATGTCTGTTATCAACTATGGTCGTTGCCTTTCCTCACATGTATGAATGAATTACTACGAGCAGCCGTGTGACCAAACATTTAGTAGCTTTCATTAGAATCATTACTTTGTACAGGTTTCATATCATTTCTGAATATTATATACATCAATTCCCTTTTTTCTTTATAAAATAAGTATTTACCTTTTAATATGGAATAATAAAAATGATATTTAAGATCAGAAATATTTAAATTTTAATTAACTGTTTGAATGATCCAATGAGACAAAATTTGAAATTTAGGATGAACTCAATTTTCTAATAAATTAAAGGCAGCTTGGCTGAATTTTCTCTGAATCATACTGGCTGAATTTTGGTTACAATTTTGGTTGAACTTTGGTTGAATTTTTACCTTGTTTTCATTTTGAAGGTCGGTGTTTGTCTCTTCTTTTATACACGATTGAGCGTAAACCAGTTTTTCTTTTTTTTTACATTGGCATAAATTTATTTCATGCATATATTGGTGCTTCTGAAAAATCTAATTATTCAAGTTTATAATCATATTATGCAAATTAACTGCAACCGAATTAACCGAAATTAAATATAAATATATATTAATTGACATCAAACTAATTACATGGACTGAACACAAATGCCTAATTTTAAATTAAAAAAATTACCAAAGAAACATTTCACAAAAATGAGTTGATAATTAAAGCATTTTTGACATTACCATGTCTATATTGTCTATATCCTTCGCTGCCACTGGCTCCTGATTGACTAGAACTAGAGTTGTTGCAAAGCTCTTGGCGCTCTACGCAAGACATTGGCCGTACTATTCTTAGATCCACCACTGAAAGTACAGCAAAGGAAAATTTCAGTTGCAATGCCAAAATATACCTTTAATGCCATTGTTTACTCACAATTATTGTAAAAATATTTTAATTTTTGAATTATTCTAAACACGAACAAAAACATTTTCATGAAATGTTTTTATAAACTACGTTAAATTTTATCCCTACATCAAGCACCTTTTTACACGTTTCGATAGATTATGTTTTTATTGAGTAATGAAATCCTAATATAGTTCTAGCCTTACTTAAATTTAGCTTTACGAATAGCTATAACAACTCTGTCATTAGCAGTACTAACTCGGAATGCATTCGTGCGGAATATCTTAATACTGTTAATATTCCACTAGAGGGACTGGTTCTTAAGTAAGAATAGTATATTTTTCTAGATTATATACAATTTAAGTTTAATAATGTTTCCTAATATTTCTATTGTAAATAAATGTGTAATCTTAAATTAAAATAATACTATATATTTTGTATCGAAATTTTCGATTTCTTGGAACCTTATAAAATTACATTTATTTCTTTTTCAAGAAAATAAATAACTCGTAAAATTAAATGAATTATATCTATAAAGCAAATGTTACAACAATGGTGATGTTGAAATCATTTGAGTGGGGCACACACTACTTCTAGTCGAAACCATATGGAATGTCATTCCTATGATTATGTTCAGAACCTGCATGGTTCAGTGACACGACGTATACAGACTCTCATCGCTCAGGTTGGAAAACACAAAAAGTACTGATTTCCGACATTCATTTTGTTTTTTATCTTGTAAATTTGATCGCTGATTTTTACTACTATCAGTAACATGTCACATAAATTTCATTCATTTCCAAAAATTCTTTCATGGTGTTGCATTTTTCACAAACATTAGTGTATATAATTTTTATTTCACTGCATAGTCTGTAATTTGCTGTACCGTTTGCGGTAGCAAAGAGTTATGTGCTGGTACTAATAGAATTACATGGTACATTTCCTTTCATTAATCGATTCGTATGGTAATAAAAGAATATCACTCTTTGAATGGTCATAAAGTTTACTAACATTTGATACATAGTCAAAATTTAAGAAAATCTATAGAAATAGTTTTTTAACATTGCTTATTTTTAAATGTAGCCTCCAAACATTTGCACACTGATTGCTCCAGACATGTGCAATATGGATATTTGTGTATATTTCCAAATGTCAGATGAAACCTGGGGCATTTCGGCTCGCATTATCTACTTTAGAATAAGGAATCTTATTAGAAAGTAACGTTCTGAATGACAGAGTTTTAAAATACAATGAGCACGTTATATTGAAACTGTTGTCTCACAACGTGCTTGCCTCACAAAATACGCTCTTAAATACTGACATTACAGTTCCTTCAAATCTCTTACCATGCGTGGCTGGTTGATGTCCTAAACCGGTTGATGTGGCTGGTTGATGTCCAGAACATTTCTCCTATTATTCTAAAGAGATCCAGCTGCCTCAAACTCATCTCTAATTTGAGTGATGATATCTCCAGTAGGAGATTTATTTAAAATTTATTTCCTAAGATATTTTTCAAAAGAGAAAACCCTAAATTAATGTTTAACAGTTATAGCGTTTATACAATTTTTTCAACACCTTACATATATTCCTCTCCATATTATGCACTACATTTTAAATTGCTGAGGCATTTTAAAGAAAATTTAACTGATAGGAATATTGATTATAAATCAAGGCGTAAATATATCTTGACGCTGACTCAAAAAGAGAGATATTCATAGATTTCAAAAGCGGTAGCAGCTGACGAAAATTTGCTATGCATCATTTAAAAGAAACGAATTCGATAAATGGACATCAATATGAATTTGTAATTTATCATCATCAAAAGACGCACAATTTACCGGAACGTCGCTTTTAGTGATTTGTTTCCCATCTCCTTACTGTCGAGTCAAAGACATTGATTAACGGTGAGAAATAACGCATTTGGCATACGAGTTTCGCATGTCATTCATAATTCTCATTTGAAACTTTTCTGTCTTATTGAAGACTTATTCTAATAATTTCAGGAGCATAAATTTTTATTTGTAACTGAACTTGTGTACTTTCATGTATAAAACTAGACCAAAATAGTTTTCACGGGCTTGAAAACTGAAATTAATTTATTTTATAACCAATAAGTTATAAATATTACTTAACGTAACGAATTAGTTAATTAAAACGTAACGAATTTTCAGTGTATTTTAGCAGTTAAAGTGCATTTAAATTATAATATTATAAGGTATTTTTTCACTCCCTTCCGCATGCCTTCGTAGCACAGTGGGCGCGTATTCGAGAAATCTAGGTTCGCGTTCCGGCGAGGACCCTGCACATTTTTCACATATCCTTCAAAACATTTTTGAAAGCTTTCAGATTTTACATTATGCCCAAAGGGGCGTTTTTTTAAAGTTTTGTGGGTTACCTTTATTTATTAAATATCATGTTCTTCGCACGTAAACCATAAAATTCAGTTCAACAGCAATATCGCGAAATAGATTTAAAATGAGCATAGCTTTAAAATTTCCCATGCACAGTATAGCGCGCTAGAGATAATTTTTTTTTTTTTTTTTTTTTTTTTTTTTTTCCCGCATAGTGTTGCCATTGCTCACTTTGAAATCGTTGAGTTTGTTAATAAAAAATTTGTTAAAGTGTTAAAGACATGTAAAATATGGAATCGATAATAAAACAAATTCCAAATTAGGGCTTCCAGATGCCCAAATTAGCTGGAGGATTACGTTATTTACTCGCTTTAAAATCGTAATATGCTCGCTTTGAAATCGTTGAGCCTGTTAATCAAAAATTAGTTAAATTATTACAAAATATGAAATAGATAGTAAAACAAACTTCAAATTTCCAAATATGGGTTTTTAGATACCCATATTCGAGTGGAGAAGTACGTTATTCAAAATTTGATGGCTCTAGGTACCGTTGTTTTATCACAATGCGAGAAACCTACATACAGTTATGCAGATTCTTCATTATTTAATTTCTTTAAATATAACACAGGGCGATAATATTTAGTGGTAACAGTTTGAAAAGTGAACGGACATTTAAAGGTTTCCACGCAAAATGCCAAAACGAAATTAACAGTCCTTCAGGGATAATGAAAACAAATACTGACACTGCTTGCGGCGCCCGAATTCAAAGATGGTTAACTATAATTCAGCATTCCAAGATTTCGCAATTTTGTCCCTTAATCCCCAGTCGCCCTTTAAAAAGCGGAGTATATAAGGTATTTTTTCTCACCTTTCCGCGTGCCTTCGTGCTGTCATTATACTCGCGTTTTCGAGAGATGCAGGCTCAAGTCCCGGTGAGAGCGTTTCACATTTTTTGCATCTCCTGCTTCAAAATAGCCTAATGATTCTATAAGTGGCTCTCGAACTAATTATAGCCGAATTATCGTCCACCACGTCTAAAGGCCCGTCCACACGAGGACGCTCCCGACGTAGATAATGCAAGCGCATTTACGTTACCTGCGTAACAGCGTCCAAACGAGTACGCTTGCGACGAGTGCGTTTAACCAATAGAATTATTTGGCGCAAAATAATCACGTGACGCTGTCAGATAGCGTTGTTTCCCGGGTAAACGGAGCAGTTGTCTTTCTGTAAGTTTGCTACACGATGTCAGATTCAGATGATTTTTGGATAGATGAAACATTACTATTAAGTACAGTCATTAAGCAGCGGCAAAAAAAACAAAAACGTAAAAAACGGCGAGAATGGGTTCGAAAGATTTATTTAGAGCGACCTGTTCAAGGAGATTTTTTTCTTTACTGCCTCGTATGCGAACCGATTATCCTGAATTATTTTTTAATTACTTCAGGATGAGTATCGACCAGTTTGATAGACTTGCAGCTTTAGTAAGCCCCTTGCTTATTAAAAATCAGACAAATATGAGAGCTCCACTGAGTCCAGAAGAAAGGCTGAGCATTTGTTTGAGGTAAGTTTGCATTTCCTATAAATATACTGAAAAATATTATAAAATATATCCTATAAATGTATGATATATAATAAAAAATATGTTAAAGTAAAAAATTTATTTAATTTGGGTTCTCTGCCTGGAAAAAAAAAAAAAAAAATTCACTAAAAAATTGAGGAGTACTGAAGCCAGGCTCCAGCTGATTTTAAGCCGTGCTAAATTATGAATCAGATTAAAGGAAGAAATTTAAAAAACCCTTTAAGCAAGAAACTGCAGTACATTAATTATTTATTAGTTTTATTCTTGTTTATCATCAACTAATAATGGACTTGTAATTTAAATAAATTATTAACAATAAGGAAAATAAAAGAAAAATAGATTTCATAATTAAAAGTTTTTCTCTAAAAATTTAACTTCTAGCAGTTGGTCTGACAAACACTCTAATGCATGATACCCTTTACTTTTTGTTTTTTATTTAGAATATCAAACATTGCTATTTATTATTGATTGCAGGATTTTTGTTGTTGTTAAAAAAGCATAAATTCTATCATTCATTTGATTTCAATTATTCTGCAATATTTATATTGAATGTCAAATGAGATAATCATTTTGATTTTTCTATTTCTTGCTTACCGACCTTTAAACCAAACACTCTCAGTCATTCAAGCCTGTCACTGACTATGTGACTAAAGCCTTTAAATGCTGGTCTTAGTTCCAGAGGTGTGGAACTTATTTAGGTGCATGTTTTTTTCCCCCTCCCCATGGGTGTTTGCATAATTATTAGAACTACAAACGAACTCCTTTTATAAAGTTCTTCATGAAAGTTTTCCCCCTCCCATAATAGGCAGATATACCATTAAGTGTTTATTGATGATGAATGAGGTAAATAAAATGTAAATAAATAATTCAACTTAAATTTTTATGTATGTGATTCTAAATTTTCAAATGGTGTATTTAGTACTATTTTATTATTGAAAGGTACATAGTCCATTGGTAATTTATGCAAATGAATTAATATGAATGCCTTTTCAGAAACACTATACAAGAATAAATATTTCAATGTTTGTAAAAACACGTCTTTTTAAAAATAGGCAATGTAACAATTTTTATGATACTCTGTAATTTTTTTAGAAAAAGAGTATTATCTTGTGTTACATTACAGCTTTTTCTGAGTACATATACAGGGTGGTTCAAAACTATATGTCAAAAATGTAAAGGCAGGCAGAGGGGACCTGAATAAGCAGATTTCATATAGGAATGCATGTGTGGTAATGTCGCATTAAAGACTAGCACGTAAAGCAGTATGAATCACAGGAAACTGAAAAGACAAGTAAAGACAAAAGAAAAAAATTATTAACAGTTTACAATAGGCATTTGAAAGAGTGGCTACCAACAAAGACACAAAATTCAGTGGCGACACATGGATCAGCGTACTTTAGAAAAGACGTCAGGTATGTCGAGCACATGTCCAGCAACAACAGACAAGTGGGAAACAAGGATTACCTGCAGATGTGACTGGACTCCTGTACACGAAGCCTTTAATATGACCCCAAAAAGAAGAAATCGAAGCAGGTTAAATCAGGAGAACACAGTGGCCAGTTCCTCCCCATCCTATCCAATCCTGACATTCCCACTGAAGTGAGCTGGGGCTCCATCATGCTGGAATCACATTTGTCTGTAAACAGCTGGTTTAAGTAAGACCTCCCCGTAACATTGCTCCTTGTACATTCTTTGAACAGTTAATTCATTTCTTTATGCATACATGAAATGCATGTTGGCAAGCTCTGCTTTGGTGTAACGATGCATGCTGTTCGAAATCCATGCGGAAAACGAAGAATCCAGCTAGGACAGCGCTTTTATACGCCATACTCATCAGTCACTAAACAGGTCTTGATTTACTTAAAATAAAAGCAAATGATTCATCAAAATGGAAGATTTTCTTTCTTGATTGAAATATATATTTATTTCTCATCAGCAGTTCTAATATTAAGAGTCATTCTTTTTATTTAGAAACATCTACCATATTAAACATAAAGTAAATATTTTAGTGCATAACTCAATAAAGAATGTAAACTCTGATCGAAGTACTTATTTGCCAATTATGCTGAAATGATAAACTGTGAAATAATGCATTGGTAGATGTATTTTTAAAATAACTTGCTTTCAATTTGATATGTTTATAAATGTGTTGTGATTTATACTTTACATATATTTAATCTTTGTGATATATATTCTTTTTAGGCACCTTGCAACTGGAAACAGCTACAGTTCTTTGGCATATAGTTTTCGTGTTGGGAAATCTACTGTAGGAGTTGTGGTGCCTGAGACATGCAATGCTATATGGACAGCTCTTCAGCCGGTATATCTAAAAGAGCCAGAGAAAAGAAAAGTGATTATGAGAGAATAGCTGTAGAATATGGCACAGTGTGGGACTTCCCAAATTGTGTTGGAGCTGTCGATGGCAAACATGTTGTCATTCAGGCTCCAGCACATGCTGGCTCTACCTATTTCAATTACAAAGGGTCACACAGCATCGTTTTGATGGCTGCATGTGATGCTTCATATTTATTTACAATGGTGGACATTGGAAATTTTGGCAGAATCAGTGATGGAGGCATTTTCTCAGCTTCAAACCTTGGGAAAAAGCTTTCTCGTGATAAAGAATTTCTGCCTGGGTACAAAAAGTTACCAAAAAGCTCCAAATGTCTGCCACATGTCTTCGTTGGAGATGAAGCATTTGGACTGAAAGAAAATTTCATGCGTCCATATTCAGGTAGAAACTTAAGTAATTCAAAAAGGATTTTCAATTATAGGCTCTCCAGGGCAAGAAGATGTATAGAAAACACATTTGGTATTTTGACTGCTCGCTGGAGGATTTTACGGAATCCAATTATTGCACAGCCTCAGACAGCAACATTAGTTGTTCAGGCATGTTGCTGCCTGCACAATTTCTTGATGAAATACGAGTCTATATCTCATAATTATAAATACTGCCCACCTAATTTTGCCGACAGACCCATGCTTGAGACAGCTAATGGACTCTGGCGAGATGATACATCTCCAAACAATGGTCTAGTGAGAATTCTTAGATTAGGGAACAATAACTATTCATTTTCCTCTGGATCTGTTCGTGATTTATTTTGTAGTTATTTTGAAAATGAAGGAGCACTCTCTTGGCAAAATAAAAGAATAGGTCTGACAGTGCACCCAAATTAAAGATAAATGTATGTAAATAATATTTTTTTTTATTTCAAAATAAATATACATGTACAATGTGTAAAAAATAAAACAGGTTGGAAAAACATGTAAGCATTGCACAGCTCACTTTGATACTTTTTGTGATTATTATAAATAATTTCAAAGTGTATATTACTTTCACAGTACTTCTATATTATTTATTTCCTTATTATCTGATTTATTTCCTGAAGTATATAAAATCTGTATGTTCTATGCTATGTATATAAAACTTCTGCATTATGAATATTTTTAAAGACTATATGATGTATATTAACAAAATAAGATTTCTCTCACCAGAAAGCATAAAATTATCAAAAAATATTAGCTAAGAAATAAATTTGTACCTTACAGTAATGAATTTTCTGTTAGAGATCTGCTACAATACGAAACCTGGCTGTATGTAAATGTTATTCCATAAGTATAACATAGACAAATTAGGCATGAATGTAGATTCATTACAATAGTTAAGATGTGTATCATTATGCTGACATTATTGACATCTATTTTCTGTATACCTTTTTCAGATCATTCAGCTTTTATCATTGCTAAAAATTTAGTTTATACTTATTGCCGAGGCATTTTGTTGTCTTGTTCTGTAATGTACGATGCACTTTTATATTTTCCTGAAATGTCTATGCTGTGTACACGCTTAAAGTAGATTTTTTTGTTTCCATTACTTAATTTAATAGGATGTAAAATTAGTTTTTATTTAAAGAAAATATGCATAACACTTAAATAATAATTTTAAAGTCATGTTGTTAAGTATGATGCTCATAGTACATAGTCTTAAATAATAAAACAGAAATTAAAAACATAATTTTTTATTTTACATATTCTGCAATTAATTCCAACATTCTTCTTTTTAATTCATTTTTTTTTTTTCCCGTGGTACAGCACCAAAGTCATCACGGAGACTTAGTAGAAAGTGTTCATCATCTGATGTTTGGCTCCGTGATTTTAATCGTGCTGCTGCCAAATCTAAATAAGTCGACAATTTTGAATCGATGTCTTTTTTCTTTTGCTTTTTAAGTGGAGGTTCTAAAATCTCTCCACCATCTACAAGTTGGCTGCTGCATGCAGCTTCTTCATTTAATGATTCATCAAAATTTATGGAGTCATTAAATGACTCCATTGTGTCTTCGATAGGGAGTGAAGGCTCATCAATTATATTGCTCGTGGTCCTGTAAATAGAGGAAACATTAAGAGAAAATATAAATAAAATTAATATATATACATAAACATATACATTGTGTGTGTGTAACAATTTAGATTCATTTCATTTCAATTTTCATGTAAAGTAGCCAAACTTTGTTGGAAGAAGCTACATATTAAAATTAAGAATCATTTAATAGCCATAACTAGATATTTATAGTTTTTAAGAAGGTTGATATTGAACCCACAGAGGTCAATGAGGATCAAAAGGGTCGATTGCAAATATGCACCAACAATTTATAGGAATAATCAAGCCCCCATTGAATAAAAAATGTATAATTAATTGTTTATTGATATAAAACTACACATGTGGTAAAGAAGAACACCATACAAAATAAATATAAGGGAAAAAATACATAAAAATTACTTAATAGAAGTTTAAAATCCCATTTTCAAAATGTATAAATTATTTATGCAAAAGTACAGTATAAAAGAATAAATGCAGGAACAAAGAAAACACAACCAAAAATATAAAAATGCAAACTTTCTCAGAAAACGTATTGTTATATACAAGATGCTTGCAAAATTGGAAATTTAAATTTGTCAGTGGCTCATGGAACCTCTGAATTGCAATTTCAGATCAATATATTTGATCTAGATTTTATGATGTAAGAAGAGTTGATTATATTGAAGGAGGATGTTCAAGCAGAAGTCTTATTCAAAATGGAAGTTTAGGAATTAAATATTATCAAAGAGAAATATTCCAAAATAAAAGTTATCACATAATGTTATCGAGTTTCCCTTTTTTTTTTTTTTAACGTAGTAGATGTACTCTTTAGTCAAGATGAGAATTTTCAATGTAAAAAAAGAAATAGGCTGAGCATTTTCGAATGAAGAAGTAGTCTTAATAAGAACCAAGCAGTTTTATGCCGAACACTTAAAAAAATGCATCATTACATCAAGTGCAGCATTTGCATTAATTAAAATGGAACTTTTCTGTAATGTTGTTTCTAAAAACTTGTTTACATTTGTAAAATTAAATATAATAATAATAGAGAAAATAATATAAAATAAATCTAATAAACAATTTTGGTATATCGGTCTTACAGCAGTCCCCCCCCCAAGACATAAATCACTAATCGACTGAAATATCTTCTGGAAATCTTGTCGTGTGTTCTTATACCTCACTGCATATTACATCTCAGTTGTTTACCAATTAAATTTAGGGGTACTATAAGCCAACACAGATATATCAGTGCATTGATTACCAATTAAATTTAGGAAAATGCTATAATAAAGATGTATCAATTTTTCTTGAAACTTTTGTTTATATTTCAATATGTTATCGTTAAGTTATACGGTTTAATCCTAGTATCCTGTTCACACGGGATTTGGCGACTTTATGATGAGCAGTAAAAACGGGGCATATACGATGAAGTATTAACGGGTCATTTAAAGAATATATATAGTTATACATAGAACGTTGTTTGGGTCATTTTTGGTGTTGGCGATAATTTTCAAAATCGCGTCAAGGCTGTAGCGTATACTAGGATTTTACCAGTTATGCTTGTGCAGTTATTTGTATTATGATTATGTTTCATGCCACATATAATAGAGAAAGCATTGAAGAAGAAAACCATCCTTTTAAAGGAAGTCAAAAAAAAAAAAAAAAAAAAGTTTGGAATCCCTGCACAAGAGCTTTTGCATAAAAAAAAGTAGTTTAGTTTTCTGAAACTGAAACAATTAACTTAAGCTTTAAATTATTTTACAAACTGGAGCAGAAGATATCCCCTCCCTCTCCTCCAGTATACGTTACATATATTCATAGTGCTGTTAAGAATATGAATGCAACATCTGTTAATACATGTCATTTCTGCTGTCATACAATGTCTATATGAAATGTAGCATATGCACAGTAGTAAATTCCATAAATGGAACTTTTGTTTCTTAATTTGATGCTAAGTGTACATCAAGCAGTTTCAAATTGCTTAATGCTATTAAACACAATGTAATTTAAAATTAATTTGATGATTGATAACAAGGCATGTCATAAAAAAATTTCTGTTTCAAATTGTACTTAAAAAATGAAATCGTTTCTTATAGCATGAGCCACATTTAAGGACCTTCCAAAATAGTTTTCATGGCTTCTTCCACATGTGTCTTTCTCTTATTCAAAACTGCACTTCCAAGGTGTTTCTCTTTTACATATATAGCTTAGTTAAAATAATCTGTAAGCAACCTATTAAATTTTATATAAATTTCCTTAAATAAATACCATTTTGAAAAGCAGTTATAAAATTCTTAACAACTTCAGGAATATTTTGAGCCTTACAAAAAGTATTCTCACTTGTTAATGTAGTTACAAAATTCCCTTAGCAAATTTATATAATAAACAATATCAGAACTATACATTTAAAGATGTAATTCAATTTTATTATTTCAACTACAAAAGTAGAGAATATATATCGTATAGCTGTGATATTTTTAAATATACAGAATATAGTAATCGTTTTAAAATATTAAAAGTTGTTAGAAATACTTACGGTCGATGACTAACTGTATCTCTTAAAAAAGATAATTCCTCATACAATCCAAATTTTGGAGTTGTAGCTTCAGAGCCACTCCTATTTTTTGATTTTAGAGCCTTGCACTCCCTAACATATCTATCACGCAGACATTTCCATCATCGATGTCTGATAGTATTAACTGAAAATAAGCATATTATAATCATCAGTAAGCATACGTTTCATATCACAAAAAATATAATATAAGCAAAAATGCTCCTTGAAATATATGAAACAGACTTACCGTCGTATCCTATACTATTCGATATTTTTATCCAGATTAGTTCTTTTCTTTCTTTATTGCGATAATCTTTGAGTTTGTGATCCCATAACAGTGGGTATTGTCGAATCTCGTTGATAAGTATTTCGTCGTTAAACGCAGCCGCCATGTTGAAAGCTGTAAACAAAACTTTGGAGCAGATCATGACACGTGATCCGAATTCAGTCAGCTATT